CTTAGTCATTTTAATGGGACAGTTTATAGTGACGTGTTCATATGCAGTGATGCTGCCCTCCTTTTCTTTCTTTGTTTTCCTTACTTATGCAAGTGGTCACGAGACATTTGGGTAAAACAGTAAAACAAACTAACTACCAAGTGCTATAACTTTGTGATGCGCACAAATGTGATATTCAGTAATTCAGGAGTTCATTTAATCTGCTCCATATCTAGTGCATTATCACAACTAGTCACACAAGTCTGCCAAAATTCAAGACATAAAAATATCAGTATTCAGTTCCTACAATCCAGATAGAATTAATCTGAGGTTAGGGGTGAAGACTCAGCTGGTGAAACATGAAGCTACCAAATGACATAATTACATTTTTTAATGTCAACTTTCAGCAGAGGCTCAGAAGCATGGCTCTGCCTTGTTAGAGAAATGATTTGTCTACTTGACTTTAGGTTGAATGACCATACCAGGAACGGACCCTCAGTGGGAGCAAAAATGACCCCTCGAACACAAACAGACACAAGTGCACGGACACACACACACACACTCGAGCATTCAGCCAAACAAGGATCTCTTTCAATGCCTGGATACACACACTCACACACAAACTCTCTCTCTCTCTCTCCCTCTCTCTCTTTACCACCCATGACCACACCCCTCTCTCATCCAATACTAATTTTCTCAATGTAAAACCCAGTTGTGCTTTGCGTCTCAGCTTTCCAGCTGTAAAGAAATATTTTATTTTACTGAGAAAAAATTATGTTTCTTTCCACTTTGACCACTATTTTAACTCAATTCTTGCAAATAAGAAAAGTAATTTCACTCACATACCAAATGGAAGGAGGAATATTTCAAGAGCCTTCAGAGGCCCACGGTACTTTAAATAGTGTCTTTCTGGCAGTCTGTGGTGCAGTGTGCAAGGTTTCACTATGGTAAAATGTTGCCTAGACATTTTTGTACTCTCTCAGTTTTGCAGCCAAGAAAATAATACAGTAGCAACAGAGAAATCATTTTAGCATAGTAATAAATACATATCTAAGTCTGAAAGTAAAAATTGGGCAGTTTTGACAATTGCACAAATCTGTGTCATTCCAGGAATATCAGACAGTGATTGCACCGTCCCAGACTCTCCTCAGCTGCCATCTACCTGACACCGTCGGACGTCCTGTTTGTGGTGTTGAGTTCCAGGTCAGCATGGATCCATAAGCAGAGACTGATTCAACATTTCAGCCTGCGGAGACAGGTTTGACATCCCCAGTAGTCAGCAGAATTCCAGGGTTATATGGACACCAAACACCACTTAACTGGTGTGGTCCTCTGTCGTAAACAGGACTTTGCACAATAGCTTATGGGCGTAAAAGAAAAGAAAAAGTGAGTCTTCACCCAAATGGTGCCCATGGGTAGTTTGACTGCTACTTTCCATCCAATACATAGCCAACATGTTGAACGGAAAGGTTATCTGGGGGTCACAGAGGTCAGGGCGCAGCTTTGCTTGTGCAGCAGTGGCCTGGTGTTCAGTAACAGAATGTGGAGGGCTGCGTTGATGTATATATGTTCCTGTATTACACTGCTGACACGAGGGTGAAGTCCATGTCTGATAGTGACAGGCAGACAGTACTGACGAGAGGGAAAGGAATGACAAACAACAGTATAGAATTATATGAGGATTTAGTACTGTATATGACAAAACTAACATGGTACTGTGCTTTGGCGGTTGTTTTTGTCATGTGTCATTTGTCTCAGGTCGTCTACATGTCTGTTATTGTTTGTCCTGCTGCAAACTCAACTGCCCTATGGGGACTATAACATTAAAGGTGAGTCGAAAGTTAAGTTGAATACATTTTTTCTTCGACTTTCTTTCTTTGACAAACTATCTCACTATGCTCAGAGAACTTCAGCATCAATCCCCTGAAACAGTTAAATCCATCTGATTTATGAGACGATGATGTTGAGCTGCACTCTCTGGGTTCATGGCACTGATTTGTGAGCGATGATGTCAACGTTCCCGTAAAAGAAAATGTAGGTATTGAAAGCAGGTGCG